GTAGTAGTAGTAGTAGTAGTAGTAGTAGTAGTAGTAGTAGTAGTAGTAGTGGTAGTAGTAGTAGTAGTAGTAGTAGTAGTAGTAGTAGTAGTAGTAGTAGTAGTAGTAGTAGTAGCAGTAGTAGTAGTAGTAGTTAGTAGTAGGTCGTAGTAATAGTAGTAGTAGTCGTCGTCGTCGTCGTCGTAGTAGTAGTAGTAGTAGCAGAGTAGTAGTAGTAGTAGTAGTAGTAGTAGTAGTAGTAGTAGTAGTAGTAGTAGTAGTAGTAGTAGTAGTAGTAGTAGTAGTAGTAGTAGTAGTAGTAGTAGTAGTAGTAGTAGTAGTAGTAGTAGTAGTAGTAGTAGTAGTAGTAGTAGAAGTCGTATGCATGTATACGTGCACGTTTCCATACATACATACATACATACATACATACATACAAACAAACACACATACATACATACGTACCTGCACGCATGTATACATACGTACGTTCATACATGCACACCTACATACATGCGTTCGAGCATACACTGTTACTATGTACGCGCATTCATATACACGTGCATCTCGTATTACCAACAACACAGTGCGTTCATAGCAACCTTAAGCAGTGCTTGCGTTCAGGTGTTCTTATTGGTCTTAATATGGAATTGGGTGAGTGTGCCGACGATACGCCACGTCGCCGCCAGCTTCGCCTCGTTGCCGTGTGCATACCTACATACCCACCAACCAATGATTGAATTTAGGTGTTCGTATTTGGTTGTCGCAGGAATGTTGTGGGCGTGCCTGGGGGGTGCCACGGTGCTGCCCGCGCCGCCTCGTTGCCGCATCGTGTCGGCCTCACGCGCTGGGCGAGCGGGCCGAATTAGATGAGGAGGAGGGGGAGGATGAGAAGGGGGAGTAGGAGGAGAAGGAGGAGGAAGAGGAGGAGGAGGAGGAGGAAGACGAGTAGGACGAGGAGGAGGAGGAAGAGGAGGATGAGGAGAGAAAGAGCAGGGGGAAGAAGCGACGAGGAGGATGAGGAAGGAGAAGGAGGAAGAGGGAGGAGTAGGAGTACGGAGGAGGAGGAGAGGACGAAGGAAAGTGCGAGGAGTGCGATGAGGGCGAAGTGCGAGACCACCGGTGCCGTAGGGAGGAGGAGAAGGAGGTACGGAGGAGAGGAGGAATGCGAGGAGTGTGCGAGGACGAGGAGGAAGATGGAGGAGAGGAGAGGAGAGTGCGAGGAGTTCGAGGACGAGGAGGAGGAATAAGGAGGAAGGTGAGGAAGGAGGATGAGGATGAGAGGAGGGGTAGAGGAGTATGAAGAGGATCTACTCCATATGAAAAGAGGAGGAGAGTCGAGGAGGAGGAGGAGGTTGAGGAGAGGGGGGAGGGGGAGCGTGGGAGGAGAGGAAAGGATGTGCACACGCAGTACAAAGTGGAAGGAAGAGCAGAGAGGAGGAGGAGGGGGGAGGAGGAGGAGAAGGATGATGATGAGTGCGAGAGTGCGAGGATGAAGACGAGGATGAGGATTATGATGATGATGATTGATGTTCTGATGATGATGATGCTTGATGATGATGACGATCTGATGATGATGATGATGATGCTGAATGATGATGATGATGAATGAGGAGGAGGAGGAGGGGGCGGACGGGAGGAGGATTGGAACAGAGTGAGAGGAACAGGAAGAAAGACCCTATGAAGAGGAGGAGGAGGAGGAGGTTGAGGATGAGGAGGAGGTGGAGGCGTAGGAGGAGGAAGATGAGGAGCAGATACGGAGGAGAAGAGATGAGGAGGAGGAGGAGGGGGGGAGAAAGGAGTAGGGGTGAGGTAGGAGAAAAGGAGAGGAGGAGAGGAGTAGGAAAGGCGGAGGATGGGGGAGGGAGGAGGAGGAGGGAGGAGGAGGAGGAGGAGGAGGAGGAGGAGTGCGAGGAGTGCGAGGAGGAGGAGGGCCGGAAGTAGCAGTAGTAGTAGTAGTAGTAGTAGTAGCAGCAGCAGTCGTAGTAGTCGTAGCCGTTGTCGTAGTGTTAGTCGTAGTCGTAGGCGTACTCGTAGTCGTAGTCGTCGTCGTCGTCGTCGTCGTCGTCGTCGTCGTAGTAGTAGTAGTAGTAGTAGTAGTAGTAGTAGTAGTCGCAGTAGTCGTAGTAGCAGTACTTGTAGTAGTAGTAGTAGTAGTAGTAGTAGTAGTAGTAGTAGTAGTCGTAGTCGTAGTCGTAGTTGTAGTAGTAGTAGTAGTAGTAGTAGTAGTAGTAGCAGCAGTCGTAGTAGTAGTCGGAGTAGTAGTAGTAATAGTAGTA